TCGTCCTCCTCGTCGTCCATCGTCGACTTCGTCACCGTCGTTGTCGTCCGTCGTCGTCGTCGTCGTCGCCCGTCGTCGCCGTCGTCGTCGTCCATCATCGTCGCCGTCGTCGTCCGTCGTCCGTCGTCGTCGTCGTATGTCGTCGTACATCGTCGTCGCCGTCGGAATCGTCGTCGTCGTCGCTGTCCGTCGTCGTCGTCGTCGTCCGTCGTCGTCGCCGTCGACATCACCCATCGTCGTCGTCGTCGTCCGTCGTCCGTCGTCGTCGTCGTCGTGGTCGTCGTCGTCTTCGTGGTCGTCAATCGTCGTCGCCGTCGTCGTGATCGTCATCGTCGTCGTCGTCGTCGTCCGTCGCCGTCGTCGTTGTCGTCGCCGTCGTCGTCGTCGTCGTCGTCGTCGTCCGTCGTCGTCGTCGTCGTTCGTCGTCGTCGTCCGCCGTCGTCGTCGACGTCGCCGTCGTCGTCATCGCGGTCGTCGTCCGTAGTCGTCGTCGACGTCGTCGAAAACGTCGTCGTCGTGGTCTGTCGTCGTCGTCGTCGACGTCGTCGTCTGTCGTCGTCGTCGTCGTCATCCGTCGTCGTCGTCGCCGTCGTCGTCGTCCATCGTCGACCGTCGTCCGTCGTCGTCGTCGTCGTCGTTCGTCGTCGTCGCCATCGTCGTCGTCGTCCTCCTCGTCGTCCATTGTCGGCTTCGTCGTCGTCGTCGTCGTCGTCGTCGGTCAGTGTCGACACGCCGTCGTCGTCCATCGTCGTGCGATCGTCGCCGTCGTCGTTCGTCGTCGTCGCTCCATACGTGTCGTCAGCCGTCCGGAATCGTCGTCGTCGTCGTCGTCCGTCGTCCGTCGTCGTCGTCCGTCGTCGTCGTCGTCGTCCGCCGCATCCATCGTCGTCGTCGTGGTCCGTCGTCCGTCGTCGTCGTCGTCGTCGTCGTCGTCTTCGTGGTCGTCCATCGTCGTCGCCGTCGTTGTCGTCATCGTCATCGTCGTCGTCGTCATCCGAGGTGATCGTCTTTGTCGTCGCCGTCGTCGTCGTCGTCGTCGTCCGTCGTCGTCGTCGTCGTCGTCGTTCGACGTCGTCGTCCGCCGTCGTCGTCGTCGTCGCCGTCGTCGTCGTCGCCGTCGTCGTCGTCATCGCGGTCGTCGTCACTAATCGTCGTCGACGTCGTCGTTCGTCGTCGTCGTCGTCCGTCGTCGTCGTCGTCGTCGTCGTCGTCGTCGTCCGTCGTCGTCGTCGTCATCGTCGTCGTCGTTCCGTCGTCGTCGTCGTCATCGTCGTCGTCGTCGTCGTCTGGCGTCGTCGCCGTCGTCGTCGTCCGTCGTCCGTTGTCGTCGTCATCGTTGCCGACGTCGAATGACGTCGCCCGTCGTCGTCGTAGTTCGTAGTCGTCATTGTCGTCGTCGTCCTTTTGTCGTCGTCATCGTCGTCATCGTCGCCGTCGTCTGTCGTCGTCACCGTCGTCGTCGTCCGTCGTCCGTCGTCGTCGTCGTCGTCGTCGTCGTCGTCGTCGTCGTCCGTCGTCGTCGTCGTCGTCTTCCGTCGTCGTCAGTCCGTGATCGTCGTCGTCGTCGTCGTCCGTCGTCGTCCGTCGTCGTCGTCGTCGTCATCCGTCGTCGTCGTCGTCGTCGTCGTTTGTCCGTCGTCGTCTTCGTCGACCGTCGTCCGTCATCCTCGTCGTCGTCCGTCGTCGGCTCATCGTCGCGTCATCGTTGTCCGTCCGCCGTCTTCGTCGTCCGTCGACACCGTCGTCCGTGGTCGTTCGTCCGTCCCGTCGTCGTGCCGTCGTTTCGTCGTCGTCGTCGTCCGTTCTTCGTCCTCGTCGTCGTCCGTCGTCGCCGTCGTCGTCTTCCGTCGTGTCGTCCGTTGTCGTCCGTCGTCCGTCTTCGTCCTCGTCGTCGTCGTCGTTCGTCGTCCGTCGTTTGCGTCGTTCCGTCGTCGTCGTCGTCGTCGTCGTCGTCGTCGTCCGTCGTCGTCGTCATCGTTCGTCGTCGTCGTAGTCGTCCGCAGTCGTCGCCGTCGTCGTCGTCATCGTCAGCGTCGTCGTCCGTCGTCGCCGTCGTCCGTCGTCGACGTCGTCGTCCGTCGTCCGTTGTCGTCGTCGTCCGTTGTCGTCGTCAGTCGTCGACGTCGTCGTCCGTCGTTGTCGTCGTCCTCGTCGTCGTCGTCGCCGTCGTCGTCCATCGACGTCACCGTCGCTGTGGTCGTCGTCATCGTCCATCGTCGCCTTCGCCGTCGTCGACGTCGTCGTCCACGTCGTCCGTCGTCACCGTCGCCATCGTCGTCGACGTCGTCATCATCGTCGTCGGCATCCTCGTCGTCGTCGTTCGTCGTCGTCATCGTCCTCGTCGTCGTCGTCGTCGTCGTCGCCGTCCGTCGTCCTCGTCGTCGTCCATCGTCGTCGTCGTCCTCGTCGTCGTCCGTCGTCGTCGTCGTCGTCGTCGTCGTCGTCGTCGTCGTCGTCTGTCGTCGTCGTCGTCACCGTCCTCAAAATCATCGTCGTCGTCCGTCGTCGGCGTCATCGTCCTCGTCGTCGTCGTCGCTGACCGTCCGTCGTCGTCGTCGTCGTCGTGCGTTGTCATCGTCATCATCCTTATCATCATCGTCGTCGTCGTCGCCGTCGTCGTCCTCGTCGTCGTCGTCCGTCTTCGTCGTCGTCCGTCCTCGTCGTCGTCGTCGTCGTCCTCGTCGTCGTCGTCCGTCGTCGTCGTCGTCGTCCTCATCGTCGTCGTCGTCCGTCGTCGTAGCCGTCGTCGTCCATCGTCGTCGTCGTCGTCCGTCGTCGTCGTCGTCCGTAATCGTCGCCGTCGTCGGCGTCATCGTCGTCATCATCGTCGTCGTCGTCCGTCGTCGACGTCGTCGTCCTCGTCGTCGTCGTCGTCCGTCGTCTTCGTTGTCGCCGTCAGTCGTCGTCGTCGTCCTCGTCGTCGGCGTCGTCGTCTGTCGTCGTCGTCGTCGTCGTCGTCCGTCGTCGTCGTCGTCATCGTCATCATCATCGTCGTCGTCCGTCTTCGACGTAATCGTCGTCGTCGTCCGCCGTTGTCGTCGTCCATCGTCGTCGTCGTCGTCGTCGTTGCCGTCGTCCGTCGTCGTCGTCGTCATTAGTCGTCGTCGTCGTCGTCGTCGTCGTCGTCATCATCGTTGTCGTCCGTCGTCGACGTCATCGTCGTCGTCGTCCACGCCCATCGTCTTCGTGGTCCGTCGTCGTCGGCGTCGTCATCCGCAGTCGTCGTCGTCCTCGTCGTCGTCGTCGTCCGTCGTCGTCCGTCGTCGTCGTCGTCGTCGTCGTCCGTCGACGTCCCGGTCATCGTGCGTCGTCGTCGTTGTCGTCGTCGTGCGTCGTCGTCGTCGTCGTGCGTCGTCGTCGTCATCGTCCGTCGTCCTCGTCCGTTGTCGTCGTCCGTCGTCGTCGTCGTCGACGTCCACGTCCGTCGTTGTCCGTCGTCGTCCGTCGGCGTCGTCGTCCGTCGTCGTCGTCGTCGTCGTCCGTCGATCGTCGACCTCGTCCGTCCTCGTCGTCGTCCTCCTCGTCGTCGTCATCGTCCGTCGTCGTCCGTCGTCGTCGTCGTCCACGTCCGTCGTCGTCCGTCGTCGTCCGTCATCGTCGTCGTCCGTCGTCGTCGTCGTCCGTCGTCGTCGTCGTCGTCGTCGTCGCCCGTTGTCTGTCGTCGTCGTCCTCGTCGTCGTCGTCCTCGTCGTCGTCATCGTTCGTCGTCGTCCGTCGTCGTCATCGTCAACCGTCGTCATCGTCGTCCGTCGTCCGTCGTCGTCGTCGTCGTCGTCGTCGTCGTCGTCTGTCGTCGTCGTCGTCGTCATCGTCGTCGTCATAGTCCGTCGTCGTCGTCATCCGTCGTCGTCGTCGTCCTCGTCGCCCGTCGTCGTCGTCATCCTCGTCGTCGTCGTCGTCCGTTGTCGTCGTCGTCGTCGTCCTCGTCGTCGTCGTCGTCTGCGTCCGTCGTCATCGTCGTCGTCGTCGTATTCGTCGTCGTCCGTCGTCGTCGTCGTCATCGTCGTCATCATCGTCGTCGTTCGTCGTCGTCCTTGTCGCCGTCGTCGTCCGTCGTCGTCCTCGTCGTCCTCGTCGCCGTCGTCGTCTATCGTCGTCGTCGTCGTCCGTCGTCGTCGTCGTCGTCGGCGTCGGCGTCCGTCATCGTCGTAAGCCGTCGTCGTAGCCGTCGTCGTCCATCGTCGTCTTCGTCGTCGTCATCGTGCGTCGTCGTCGTCGTTCGTCGTCGTCGTCCTCGTCGTCGTCCGTCGTCGTCGTCGTCGCCGTCGTCGCCCGTCCAGCTCGTCGTCGTCGTCCTCATCGTCGTCGTCCGTCAGGGTAGCTGTCATCGTCGACATCGTCGTCGTCGTCCGTCGTCGTCGTCGTCGTCGTCGACCGTCCATCGTCGTCGTCGCCCGTCGTCATCCTTGTCGTCGTCGTCGTCCGTCGTCCATCGTCGTCGTCGACAGTCGTCCGTCGTCGTCGTCGTACGTCGTACGTCGTCGTCGTTGTCCTCGTCGCCGTCGCCCGTCGTCATCCTCGTCGTCCTCGTCGTCGTCCGTCGTCGTCGTCCGTCGTCGTCGTCGTGCTCGTCGTCGTCGTCCGTTGTCTGTCGTCGTCGTCCATCGTCGTCGTCGTCCTCGTCGTCGACATCATTCGTCGTCGTCCGTCGTCGTCGTCGTCATCGTCGTCAGTCGTCGTCATCGTCGTCCGTCGTCCGTCGTCGTCGTCGTCTGTCGTCGTCGTCGTCGTCGTCATCGTCATCGTCATCGTCCGTCGTCGTCGTCATCCGTCGTCGCCGTCGTCGCCCGTCCACCTCGTCGTCGTCGTCCTCATCGTCGTCGTCCGTCGTCGTAGCCGTCATCGTCGTCATCGTCGTCGTCCGTCGTCGTCGTCCGTCGTCCGTCGACCGTCCATCGTCGTCGTCGCCCGTCGTCGTCCTCGTCGTCGTCGTCGTCGTCGTCGTGCGTCGTCGACCGTCGTCCGTCGTCCGTCGTCCGTCGCCGTCGGGGGCGCGCCGCCTGCTGGGGCCGCCCGCGTGGGGGCCCCTGCCGCCCGCGGGGGCGCCGCCCGCGTGGGCCTCCGCGAGGGCCTCCTGCGCGCAGCGCTGCCACCGCTCCTGGTGCTGGGGGGCTCGAGGTACTGGGCGGGAGGGAGAGCTCCTCCTCCTCCTCCTCCTCCTCCTCCCCTCCTCCTCCTCCTCCTCCTCCTCCTCCTCCTCCTCCCCCTCCTCCTCCTCCTCCTCTCCTCCTCCTCCTCCTCCTCCTCCTCCTCCTCCTCCTCCTCCTCCCTCCCTCCTGCCTCTGCCGTCGGGGGGGTGGGGCTCCAGGTGCAGGCACACTCCGCGAGCACGCCGTGGAGCCGCTCGCGCCGCCGATCCATCGCCCTAGGCGATGGGGCTCGCCGCGCGCCGCGGCGTCGGCGGCGGGCGGCCGCGCGGCGGGCGCGGCGGTCGCGGCGAGGGGCCGTGCGGGGCGCTGCGCCGCCGCGCGGGCCAGAGCGGCGCGGCGCGCGCGCGGGCGCGCGCGCGGCAGGGAGGAGGGCGGCGGCAGGGACGGATGCGGAGCGGCGGCGGAGAGCCAGGCGCACGCCGTGGGAGGGTCACGGGCCGACGGGGGCCGTGGCGGAGACGGGGGGGGGAAAGAGGCAGGGGACGGAGACGGAGGCAGGGACGGAGACAGAGCGGAGCTTGCCCTGGTGGCCGAGGCGCCCTCCCCAAGGCGGAAGGCCGCGCGTCCGAGCAAACGGCGCGGCGACATAAGATGTTGTTCTTTCGGGGTGGGGCGCTTCTTGTAGTGAAAAGAAGAGCTTGCAGGGACCTGTGGGGAGGGGAGTTGGGACGGGAGTGTGATCTGCAGAATCGCTCATGCATCTTGGGTTTTTACTCGGGTTTTCTTCCTCCTCGCTCCTCCTCTCCTCCCCTCCTCCTCCTCCTCCTCCCCTCCTCCCCTCCTCCCCCTCCTCCTCCTCCTCCTCCTCCCTCCTCCTCCGCCCTCCTCCTCCTCCTCCTCCTCCTCCCCCTCCTCCTCCTCCTCCTCCTCCTCCTCTCCTCCTCCTCCTCCTCCTCCTCCTCCTCCTCCTCCTCCTCCTCCTCCTCCTCCTCCTCCTCCTTCCTCCTCCTCCTCCTCCTCCTCCTCCTCCTTCCTCCTCTCCTCTCTCCTCCTCCTCCTCCTCCTCCTCCTCCTCTCCCTCCTACCTCCTCCTCCTCCTCCTCCTCCTCCTCCTCCTCCTTCCTCCTCCTCCTCCTCCTCCTCCTCCTCCTCCTCCTCCTCCTCTCCTCTCCTCCCCCCCCGCCCACCCCCCGCGCACCTCTCCTCCCCCATCCAGCTGCGCAGGCCGCGGGGGTCGCTCCCTGGAGAGGGGCCTCGCCTCGCCGCCGCGGGGCACGCCTCCGCCGGAGCTCCTCCGCCAAGGGGCCCCGGGCAGCAGCTGCGAAGGAGCGGGCGGCGAGTCGGGCTCCCTTGGCGGCACGCACAAGGGGGTGGGGGGGGGGGGGGGGCCTTCTTCGAAGGAGGCCTGCTTCTTAAAGGCTCCGGCCTTACATCTATGGATAAGGGACCGCGCTTCTGAGAAGCGGGGTGCTTCCAAGAAGCCCCCCCCCCTCCCCCCCACCCCCCTCTGGGCGTGGCTGACTCCCGCAGTCCGAGGCGGCCGAGGCCGCCCTCCCCAGAGATCTGACGCTCCAACCAAAACTGGAGCGGGCGGTGCGTCGCCGTTTGCGGCTGGGGGCCCCCGCCAGGCCTCGGGAGCGTCAAGCAGCGACTCGGGACGCAAAGCCGGCCCTGGGGATGTGGCTCGGACCTCTCTGGGGCCCACGCATCGAACACATCGGAGCAGCCCGATGTCTGGGCCCTTCTGCTTCCGCGGCTCCCGCCGACCTTCCGCCGCCCTCCGCCGAGGAGGTGCCCGCCAGCTCCCTCGGCCCCCGCAGGCGAGGGGCCCTTGCGGGAGCGCTCCCTGCGACTGCGGCCTGGAACTCTTGCTCGGCGCGCCGCGGCGGCGGCCCCAGCGACGCACCATCCCTGATACGGTGATGGCCTTTTTTTTTTGTTTTACTCTTCGAGCACCCGCGAGCAGGCGCGTGGTCATGCATTCAATTCAACAAGGGGGAAGGAGGGCGAGAGGGCAAGGCACGTCGAGCGGCCGCACGACACGGTGATGGCCTTGGAGAAGGAAGCCTTTGATAAGGAATCCAGGGCCTGAAAGCCAGTGGAACTTCGGTCGTGGATTGGCCATGGATATCACCGCCGCCCTCATCAGGTCAGGGACCCTCCAGGGTTCGAAGCCCCCTGGGCACGCTCCTTAACGAATGCCCCCACCGTAGACGAAAGCGTGTCGCTCCGCTCCGCGGGGCGGGAGGCTCGGAGAGGCTTCGGCCTCCGGCGCTTGGGAGTGGGGGCGTGGACAGCGTGCCGCGCCGACGCATGGTGGGCCAGAGCCGGCGGCGGCGACGCGCCGAGCCAGCTCTCGACCGCGTGTGCGGCGTCCGCGCGGCGGCTGGCGCGCGAGGGCGGGCGCCCCCCCCCCCGCCGCGCCGCGCCGCGGCGCTCCCCCGCGACGGGGGGCACCTGCGCGCCGAGGGCGCGCCGAGGCCGCTTCTGGCAACCCCGCGGCGGCAGCCTCCCGGGCCTGGCCCGACCCTCGGCCCCGTCGCGGGCTCGGCGCCCCACGCGCGTCGGCACGCGCGGCCGTGCGCCCACTTTTCCCGCGCGCCCGACCAACAAAAAAAACATAAAAAAACGTGCGCAGCCCCCCCCCCAGCACCCACTGATTTTCATCGCGGTTCGCGCTGATCGCACTCGCATTTTCTTTGCTGCCAGCTTCGGTTCTCGCCCTGAGACGGCGGCATCGAATAATGAGCGTCATCTGGAGAGCCAACCACTTGATCCTGCATCTCCTTCCCCTCTTTCACCTCGTCCATCCTCCTCCTCCTCCTCCTCCTCCTCCTCCTCCTCCTCCTCCTCCTCCTCCTCCTCAACCTCAGAAGATGCAAGCGTCCGCTCCCCCCGCCTTTGGGAGAACAGGTATAAGATATCAGCGGCAGCGCTAACAAGAACGATAAGCGAACCATATGATTTCTCAGGCATTCCAGGGATGCACAGGGATGCTAAGTGACGATCGCTGTGCAGGCTCAGGGATCCCAGGGATTCCAAGGATGCGAGGTCACGATCCCTGAGCAGGCTCAGGGACCCCAGGGATTCCAGGGATGCGAAGTCACGATCCCTGTGCAGGCTCAGGGATCCCAGGGACCCCAGGGATTCCTAACCCTCCAGCAAAACCGACCTGGGGATCCACCAGCGATCCCGCGCTCAGAATCCCTGGGATCCCTGAGCCTGCTCAGGGATCGCGACGTCGGTTGTCAGCAAACCATATGATTTCTCAGGGATCCCAAGGGTTCCAAGGATGGCAAGTCACGATCCCTGAGCAGGCTCAGGGATTCCAGGGATTCCAGGGATGCGAAGTCACGATCCCTGTGCAGGCTCAGGGACCCCAGGGATCCCAGGGATTCCTAATCCTCCAGCAAGACCGACCTGTGGATCCACCAGCGATCCCGCGCTCAGAATCCCTGGGGTCCCTGAGCCTGCTCAGGGATCGCGACGTCGGTGGTCAGCAAACCATATAATGTCACAGGGATCCCAAGGATTCCAGGGATGCCAAGTCACGATCCCTGAGCAGGCTCAGGGATCCCAGGGATTCCAGGGATGCGACGTCACCATCCCTGTGCAGGCTCAGGGATCCCAGGGATCCCAGGGATTCCTGACCCTCCAGCAAAATCGGCTTGGCGACTTCGCAAAGATTTGGGGGGTTGGGAATCCCTGGGGTCCCTGGGATCCCTGAGCCTGCACAGGGATCGTGACTTCGCATCCCTGGAATCCCTGGGATCCCTGAGCCTGCTCAGGGATCGTGACTTGGCATCCCTGGGATCCCTGGGATCCCTGAGACATCATATGGTTTGCTGACAGCCGACGTCGCGATCCTTGAGCAGGCTCAGGGACCCCAGGGATTCTGAGCGCGGGATCGCTGGTGGATCCCCAGGTCGGTTTTGCTGGAGGGTTAGGAATCCCTGGGATCCCTGGGATCCCTGAGCCTGCACAGGGATCGTGACTTCGCATCCCTGGAATCCCTGGGATCCCTGAGCCTGCTCAGGGATCGTGACTTGGCATCCCTGGAATCCCTGGGATCCCTGAGACATCATATGGTTTGCTGACCACCGACGTCGCGATCCCTGAGCAGGCTCAGGGACCCCAAGGATTCTGAGCGCGGGATCGCTGGTGGATCCCCAGGTCGGTTTTGCTGGAGGATTAGGAATCCCTGGGATCCCTGGGATCCCTGAGCCTGCACAGGGATCGTGACTTCGCATCCCTGGAATCCCTGGGATCCCTGAGCCTGCTCAGGGATCGTGACTTGCCATCCTTGGAATCCCTGGGATCCCTGAGAAATCATATGGTTTGCTGACAACCGACGTCGCGATCCCCGAGCAGGCTCAGGGATCCCAGGGATTCTGAGCGCGGGATCGCTGGTGGATCCCCAGGTCGGTTTTGCTGGAGGGTTAGGAATCCCTGGGATCCCTGGGATCCCTGAGCCTGCACAGGGATCGTGACTTCGCATCCCTGGAAGCCCTGGGGTCCCTGAGCCTGCTCAGGGATCGTGACTTCGCATCCCTGGAATCCCTGGGATCCCTGAGCCTGCACAGCGATCGTCACTTAGCATCCCTGTGCATCCCTGGAATGCCTGAGAAATCATATGGTTCGCTTATCTTTCTTGTTAGCGCTGCCGCTGATATCTTATGCCTGTTCCCCCAAAGGCGGGGGAAAAAAACAAAAAAAAAAAAAAAAGAAAAAAAAAAAAGAAAAAAAAAAACAAAAACAAAAAAGAAAAAAAAAAAAATAATAAACAAAAAACATAAGCGGACGCTTGCATCTTCTGAGGTTGCGTTAGAAAAAGCATTCCGCTTGCAACACGTGACTCGGGAAGAGGAACGGAAAGGAGCAGGGATGATGAGAAGAGGATGCGTCTCAAGCTTCGTGGAAGAGGGAGAAGGCGTAGAGTGGGTGCTGGGGGGGGGGCTGTCCATATATGTATATGTGTATATATATATGTACACATACACATGCACAAGACTGCAGTGGCGCTTCGCGCAATGCACCTTGGTCCTTGAAGTTTGGTATGCAGGCGGAATGGCAGGAAAGTCAAACCGACAATTTAATGATAACTCCTTGTTGCCTTTTCCTGCATCGCCGTCATAATAATGTTATTCGTGATCCTTCCTCCATGCTTCTTTGTCCTCATTCTCGCCATACCCTGCGCATTCTCTCCATCTTCCTCAGCTCTTTTTGCGAAGGCTCCTCCTTGGAGAGCCTCTAGGGGCCTCACACAAGATTTTCAGGCTCTCTGAAGGCCTTCTGGAGGCCTCCTGGGCGTGTTCTGGGGGCCTCTGGGGGCTTCCTCGGGCCACCCTGCCTCCAACCGCGGTCTCCCTGAACGACCGGGTCACGATTTGGAATGCTTCGGAGAGTGTCTTGGGGCCACCTTGGGCTGCCATTGGGCTCTCTAATGGCCATCTTGGACCCCTGTTGTGCCGTTTTGGGGCTCTCTTGGACTGCCTGGAAGCCCTTTCGCATGGTTGTGGGGCGATTTTGGAGCCTCCCAGGCGGCCTCGGACGCCCAGAGGACCGCCGTCTTGGAGCGTCGGGAAGCCGAAAAGAGGAGAACCCCCAAATTCACCAAAAACCATGAGAAAATCAATAATTTCTGCTTCTTGGGGCCTTCTTGGGAGTGCTCTTGGAGGCTTATCGGGACATTCTGGAGCGATCTTTAGGGGTATGACGGCTTCTTGGGGGTCTTCGTGGACCGTATTGGGGCTCTCTGGGGTCGTTTCGGGAGCGCGCCAAAACGCCTGGAACCCGTCTGGGGCCTTCTTGGGGCTCTCGTGAGGTTCTTCCGGGTCGTCTGAGGGGTTGCCCAAAGGCCCGGGGAGGGCCAAATGCCCGTGGATGTCAAGTGTATTGATCTGCATCGTCTCCAGGATTAGCGTTCGCATGTCTGCGCAACTCCCTCTCTCCGTTTTGCTCTGCTTCTCCATCTACTTCCTCCTCCTCCTCGGACCCGACTTCATACTCCTCTTCTTGTCAATTTCCTGCGATGCTTACGTGCTGCACTTGTTTTTGTATGCGCCTGGGCATGCACCTGCCGCTTGTAAAGGAGCGACATAGTCGGAATGAGAGGGGGGAGGAGGAGAAGGATGGGGAGGATGAGGAAGGGGGACGAATAGGACGAAACAGGAGGAGGAGGAGGAAGAGGAGAGATTTTAGGAATGCCTGAAGTAGATGCGTATCAACAGTAGGAGTGCAATACTAATAGGAATGCCAGTACTCCTGGGACTAGTACTGGGCATGCCACTGATGCACCAACGATGCTGAAATACATGACCTCGCGTCCCATACTCACTCCTTCCGAGTCCCTGCAACTATTCGTTTCCCTGCGGGGGACGTCTCCTTGAACGACGAGCACTCCGTCCGTGGGCCTACCTTTCTGGTTGAAACCCCGTTCTAAGGAACAGCCTTCCATCTTTGCAGCTTCTAGAACGGCTACGGCGTGAGACCATTAAGCCCAGCCACATGTAACACGAGAGCACGCGTTCGGACAAGATCTGGCGCCATGTCATACAACCTGAGCGCATTCCAAGCGAGAGTCCCAGTTTGTGCCCACCAGACCTTGGCAGTCGCCACACCACGAACCCTGTACGCCAAGACCAGCAAAGCTTGATGTGCACGCGCTGCCCTGATGTCGTCGTCCTCCTCTTCCTCCTCCCCTTTCTTCCTCTTCCTCCTCCTCCTCCGCCACCTTCTTCCTCCCCATCCTCCCTTCTCAGATCGTTCCCCGTCCTCCTTCTCCTTCTCCTCGTGGGCGCCCATCCCCTGGCCCCTGGACGGAGGAGAAGCGAGATAGAGAGAGAGAGAGAGAGAGAGAGCGAGAAGGGACGAAGGAAGGAGGATCAGGAACACAAGGATGACGATGATCATGAGGATGATGCAGCTGCTGCTGCTGCTGCTGCTGATGACGATGCTCATGCTGCTGATGCTGATGCTGCTGCTGCTGATGATTATGATGATGATGATTATGATGATGCTGCTGATGATGATGAGGATGACGATTCGGGTGATTGAGATGGTGGTGAAAAGGTTGAGGTACCAACTGTCCTGAATTAATATTTGGGCACGACTCATATCTGGAAGACACGACTCGTGCACGAAAGCTCACATTACCGTCGATACCCTTCTCCAGGCTGATAACGGCGATGATGATTCTGCTGATGATGATGACGATGATCTCGATGACGACGGTGGTGATGGTAGCCAGGATGCTGAGACCGATGATGAGACTGCTGGTGATGATGATGAAGATGAGGATGAGGATGCTGATGATGCTAATGCTGATGCGATGCTGATGATGCTGATGATGCTGCTGATGATGATGATGATGGTATTGATGAGGAGGAGGACGATGATGCTGCTGCTGATGATGACGACGACGATGACGACGCGCTCCAAGTGGCGGGTTTGCTGTATGACTTTCCTTTTCTCTGTTCGTTCGCCTATGACATCTTTGAAACCGGCTGGTTGACCCCAAGATCGACAGTTCTACTCTGGGTTTGACTCGCTGTCCACACAGAGCTATCCTACCTGAAAGCCCTTCTCAGAGAGCCCCTCGTGCCAGTTCTAGTGTTCCAGCCTTTGACAGTGTCCAAGCTGTGATCTACCATGATGTCGAAAATGAAGGGGTAGGAGCGGGAGGAGGAGGAAGAGGAGGAGGAGGAGGAGGAGGAAGAGAAGAAGGAGGAGGAGGAGGAGCACTAATGGTTATGTGGAAGGAGGGAGCATAATGAAGGAAGTGAGGGAGGGAAGACGGGGGACGAGAATATAGAGGGAGGAGGGAGAGGAAGGAGGAGAAGGAGAAGTTCAAGCAGCAGCAGCAGCAGCCGCAGGGATGGATGGATGGAGGGAGGGAGAGAGGAGTGAGGAGGAGAGATGGAAGAAAGGAGGATGATGATGGAGGAGTGGAGTAGGAGGGGGGTAGGAAGGGAGTCCTCCTCCTCCTCCTCCTCCTCCACCTCCTACTCCTTTCTCGCCGCCCCACGCTCCCCGAGCACCTGGCGCAGGGTGCTCAGCCACTCGAGGCTGGACGTGTTGCAGCTTGGCGCCTGTGCCGCGCGCCGGGCACTGCCCCCGCCGCGGGCGTCGGCGCCGTCGCCATCGTCACCACCGTCGCTGCCGTCGTCGCCGCCGTCGTCGCCGTCGTCGTCGCCGTCGTCGTCGCCGTCGTCGTCGTCGTCGGCGTCGTCGGCATCGTCGTCGCCTTCGTCGTCGTCGCCGCCGCCGCCGCCGTCGGCGTCGTCACCGTCGTCGTGGCCTTCGCCACCGTCGTCGTTTGAACACGAAGTTCATCCTCGGCCTTCGCAGCGGCTCCACTGCTGGAGACCTCCCCCTCCTCATCCCCCTGTTCGAGGCCTTCGGAGAGCCCCCTTGTCGCCACGACCGGGCGCGGCTCGGATAGCAGGCCAGCAGGGACAAGTTGTGGCAGATTTCGGGAGCAATTTGTGGCCAGATTTCTGCTGCGTCAGCTACAGAGGTCACCTTTCTTCGCGCTTCGCGCCGCGCGACGCGCGATCATCTTTGCACCTTCGAGCCGTCTCGGCTGCTTGGCGGGAAGGGAGACGCTTTGGGGGTTTCATATGTGCAGGGGGAGAAGCCCTTATGCCCTCCACCTTGGCGAGGGTGGCTAGCCACCCTGTCACCGCGAGCGTGACAACCCCCGCCACCGCCAGAAGCCCAAACGTCCCTCAAGCTCGGTGGAACCCTCCCAGGCGGCCCCGAGGTCAATGCACTGGGAACCCTACGCTTGCTTGCAGGCGAGGGATCCCGTCTTTGACCTCGGGGACGCCTGTGAAGGGTTCCTGTGAGCAGAGGGAGAGGCCCTTGTTGGGCCTTCCCACGAGAGTGGCCGCGGGGCCGCCACCGCCACCCTGCGCACTGCTGTGCCACCCACTGCTACCCCCTCAACTGCCTGCCCTACTTCGTGTTGTCGCTTCCTTTACCTCTCCCTCATCCCGCACAGGTTGCCGTTGGCCACTAGAGCTACCCATGCTCACCATCAGGGCTGAGCAGGGCTTGCGGGCACCTCCAGCCATCAGGGCTACAATGGCAGCCTCTTAAGCTTCACCGCCAACAAGAGAGCACTATGACCATCAAGGCTAGTTTAACGGGTAAAACGCTTACCTCTTACCCCATACCCACGCTCCCCTACATGTATTGTGCTTTCGTTGAGCTCTCCACTGCCTCGTACAGTCGCTGTTGGCCACCAGGGCTACCCATGCTCACCAGCAGGGCTGAGCAGGGCTTGCCAGCACGCCTAGCTATCAGGGCTACATTGATGCCAACAGCCTCTGTACGCCTCACCGCCAGCAAGAGAGCCCTATGGCCACACGCCTGGAAAAATAGGGCACCTCCATGGAGGGGGACACTGGGCACCCTTCACGGCGCTGGCCCAACAAGGCCAGTAGACCTGCTTGGCACGGGGACGGAAAGCGCACATACTTTCAGAGCGCACGAGATCGCTGGCTCGTCCGCTCTTACACCTCTTATTGACTCCCTCCCCCTCGCTCCTATCTCAGCCTTGGAGAGTCGCGGAGCTTTCTTTGAGCGCGTTTCTTGCTTTGGAGGGGGCGGTCGGGTCGCGTTGCGTTTTCCGCGTTTGGGCTGCCAGCTTTCCAGAACCCCGCGTTGTCCTTGCGTGGACCGCTCGTTGTCCACGCGTTGCCGCCCGTCCCTGTGCCCTGGCGTCAAGAACTTATTACGCCGCAGCTCTCTGTTGGGAGCTTTGGTCTTATCAGCTCGATTACGTCACCGCTCGCTCTTGGGAGCCGCGAAGCTAAGAGCCTTTGGGAGTATTTTGGGCCTCTTGGGGGGCTCTTGGGGAGCCTCTTGGGTGCCTCTTGGGGACCTTTGGGGGCTTTTCGGAGGCCTCTTGGGGCCTCCTGGGAGCTTCTGGGCTGCGGGGGTGAAGGGACTAGGCTGCCTTTGGCCGTCTTTGGGCTCTCTTGGGGGCCTTTTGGGGCCTTCTTGGGGCCGTCCTGGCGCCGTCTTGGGCCGTCTTGGCGCCTCTTGGGCCGTCTTGGCGCCCTCTTGGGCCGTTTTGGGGCCTTCTTGGGACGCTCTTGGGGGCCTCTTGGACAGTCTTGGGCGCCTCTTGGCCCGTCTTGGCGCCCTCTTGGCCTATTTTGGGGGCCTCTTGGGGGCATCTTGGGCCGTCTTGGGGCGGTCTTGGGGGCCTCTTGGACCGTCTTCAACGCCATGAAAGGCGAAAAGCAATATATGCTAAACATGTACGTTTTCCTACAGGAAATCATTGATTTTGGCCTCTTGGGGCCCTCTTGGGACGCCTCGTGGGCGCCTCCTGGGGCGTCGTGGAGGCCTGTTGGGACGTCTTGGGGCCACCTTGGGCGGTCTTGGGCTCTCTTGGAGCGCTCTTGGGCCGTCTCGGGCGCTTCTTGGGCCGTCTTGGGCGCCGTCTTGGCCGCTTCGTGGGCTGTCTTAGGCGCCTAAGACTGCCCAAGAAGCGCCCAAGAAGCGTTTTCCGATGATGTTTCGAGCGAAACGCTGTTTGTAAGCCCCGAAGGCCGTCCTACTCGATAAACAACGAGACGGGAGGGCAATTAGACCTGCTTGGCACGGGGACGGAAAGCGCACTTACTTTCAGAGCGTACGAGATCGCTGGCTCGTCCGCTCTTACACCTCTTATGAACTCCCTTCCCCTCGCTCTTGTCCTATCTCAGCCTCGGAGAGTCGCGGAGCTTTCTTTGAGCGCGTTTCTTGCTTTGGAGGGGGCGGTCGGGTCGCGTTGCGTTTTCCGCGTTTGGGCTGCCAGCTTTCCAGAACCCCGCGTTTTCCTTGCGTGGACCGCTCGTTGTCCACGCGCTGCCGCCCGTCCCTGTGCCCTGGCGTCAAGAACTTATTACGTCGCAGCTCTCGGTTGGGAGCTTTGGTCTTATCAGCTCGATTACGTCACCGCTCGCTCTTGGGAGCCGCGGTGCTAAGAGCCTTTCGGAGTATTTTTGGCCTCTTGGGGGGCTCTTGGGGAGCCTTTTGGGTGCCTCTTGGGGACCTTTTGAAGCTTTTCGGGGGCCTCTTGGGGCCTCCTGGGAGCTTCTGGGCTGCAGGGGTGAAGGAACTAGGCCGCCTTTTGCCGTCTTTGGGCTCTCTTGGGGGCCTCTTGGGGCCTTCTTGGGGCCGTCCTGCAGCCGTCTTGGGCCGTCTTGGCGCCTCTTGGGCCGTCTTGGCGCCCTCTTGGGCCGTTTTGGGGCCTTCTTGGGGGCCTCTTGGGCCTTCTTGGGCGCTCTTGGGCCCCTCTTGGCCCGTGCTTGTGCGCACTCATTGGCCCGTCTTGGGTGCCCCCAATTGGGCTATTTTTTGGGGGGCTGTTTGGGAACATCTTTGGGGCCGTCCTTGGGGCGGTCTTGGGGCCTCTTGGAACCGTTCTCAACGCCATGAAAGCGAATCAAGCCGTATTGCTACAGTGGTACGTTTTCCTGAACAAGGAAATCATTGATTTCGGCCTCTTGGGGCCCTCTTGGGACGCCTCCTGGGACGCCTCCTGGGGCGACGTGGAGGCCCCTTGGGACGTCTTGGGGCCGCCTTGGGCGGTCTTGGGCTCTCTTGGGGCGCTCTTGGGCCGTCTTGGGCGCTTCTTGGGCCGTCTTGGGCGCCGTCTTGGCCGCTTCTTGGGCTGTCGTAGGCGCC